ATTTGCTATAAAATAGGAAAACATTCGTGTAGCCACTTTGGAATATTACACGACAAGCCACATTATTCATAATTCAGTATGTTGGGAGAATCCTAGTTTGGTTGAAATTGGAAGGATTTAGGCTAATATTGATTTTGTTGCTAGTGTGGTTTGTTTTACATTTTGTATATGCATCTTGTGCTTTGAATGGTGTACTTCCAATAAACCCAAATAAACAATTGAAGTAGTTGGGAGTAAAGCGAATCCTCCTTTGGTATTCTACGCTTTACGGGTAAACACAATGAAGTGACTTGCAGTTCAAAAATGAAAGGATACATCAGTATGTCATCACATATATTGATACAAGTGATGAACAAACTGATCTACCTCACATTATATTTGAGGGAAGGTGAGAACTCATTCAAGTATAGTAACATTGGAGTGAACAGTTACACAGATCGGGTATAGAATGGGCTTCTAGGTGATCTACCTGGAGGATGGTTAACGTGGAAATGGGTCAGAAAATAGAATCACTGGAACTGTTGCTGAGCAGCAGGAGTATGGTTAGAGGGTTTGGGCTTCATCCATGAGGTATGTGCTAGAAGTCCAGTGCTCGGTATTGAAAGGGGGGGGGGGGGCTGCACCTCATGTTCCTGCAGAGATCAATTGAAAGAGAAGCAACATCTCAAAACTGGGAAGGGGGATAAAACGGAGAGAAGATAAACGATGTATTTACAGGGACAAATTTGGAGCTACTCCCATTGACAGGGGCCCAAAATTTGATCCATAATGTAAAAAATGTATTATTGTCAATAAGCATTTATAGCTGTCACATTCAGCCAGAGAGGGAGAAAAGCAGTGCCTTGTATTGTTCTCTCGTGTTATCCAGGGTTACCCTTGATTTGCTCTAGAGCCTGTTGCCTTCCTGCTCAACAGGAAAAATAGGGGAGTCCTAAAAAACAAACAAGCCATAAACCAAACTGCAGTCCACCTAATGGACTATGTAGGGTTGTTAAGACATATTCAGAGAATGGCTTCTCCAGAGTTGGTATAGTGTATGAAATGAGAGGGTATTAAGAGAAGAATGTACAAACTTCAGATGAATGCTAAGGCCATTGACTTGATATTGGATTCAGAATGATGATGTATCCTACAGCAGATGTCTGGGATTTTTCTTTGAATCCCCCTTCTCATAACTTATATCAAACTTTGTTTTAGTGCCTTTTTTAAAACAGAGAAGTTACTCAAAGGCACAAAGAAATTCCCATTGAAAGTCAGGGGGAAGTGCACCTGTGTCTTTGAAAATCTTCCCCTAAAACAATACATGTTCATCCCCACACCCTTGCTTCCACCCTCCCTCCTGCTTTTCCCAAAAAGCCAGAGGAAATTAAGCAAAGATTCAACAAGTACAATGAAATTTCAGAGTCAAAGTTCAAAACACCATCCCCGCCTCACTCTGTTTTGCCTTAGTGTTACACAGATTTTGAAACATGGAGGTTTGGATAGCATGGTCTGATTTGATTTTATTAAAAGAACTGTACTCTGGGTCCTGATAGTCAGCAAATGATTCCTTCCACATTTTGTAGCTCTTAAACTTCCAGCTACCTGAGATGCAGGCATAATGAGTAACTGTACAGTTAGCTGTCCAGTTGCTATGAAAGATAAATGCAGTTAAATGTGAGCAAAATTATTAGAAGCTGTTTCTCAAGATCAGGACTGATGTGCTGTCGAGCCCTGGCCAGCAGAGTAGGAGTTAGATGATGGTAAAGGTAAAGAAACTATATGTCCCAGTTTTACTGGGGCATTCCTGTTTTTTTTCACAAACTTCTTCTGGGGTATCATTTAATCATTCAAAACATTTTTTAAAAATAACTCCTCAACATTGCTATAGCAAATAGAATTTGCACTGTGTTTGCCAGGAAGAATAGAGTGGAACAAGTGCTCATTGTGATGATCAGTGTTTGGTATGAAAAGAGAAGTGAAATGAGTGTAGATTCCGTGATTGGTGATGTTTTGCTCAGTAGGTAACCTTTTTCAAAAGTGGCCAAGCCCCACTTTCAAAAGTGATTGAGAGGTCTAAATCCCATTGACTTGGCTCCTAAGTGATGACTAACTTTTGAAAATGGGGCTTAGGCTTCTAAGTCATATAGGCCTGGTCCACATTGGGTTGTGCTGCCCAGGGGTGTGAAAAATCAACACCCTTGAGAAATACAGTTAAACTAATCTAACCCCCAGTGCAGACAGTGCTAGGTTGACAGGAGAATTCTCATGTCAACCTAGCTACCCCCTCTCTCGGTGCGGTGGGGTACCTCTGTCGACGGGAGAAGCCCTCCCATCGATGTAGATAGCATCTTCGCTGAAGCTGCGCCACTGGTTGTGTTTTAAGTGTAGACAAGCCCTTGGGCACTTTTCAAAATTTTACTTAAAGTAACGGTTAGCAACACTTGTTCAGTGTTTCATGCAAAAAATCAATCCGAGATCAAGGATGTGATTTCTATGTATGCTAAGGCCCCTTTATGTTACCAAAGGGCTGTAAAGTGGTCTTACTGTGAATGAGAATCAGGTATTAAGTTACTGGAAAAAATTCTCCATTCTGAGCAATATTCCTAGGTTGCAGTACTACTGGGAGTTGGCAGTAGTGTTGACAGTGCTCATTTAAAAACAAAAGTTGACTTTTATTTTTTGTATAGTGTAAATAATGGCACAAGGGAAATATCTGGGGGGTTTTATTATAAAAACATGGCCACCTTAGTTAAAGGTGTAGCTGCAAATGAAAAATAAGTGCATTTAGGCCCACTTTTGCTTCAAAATGTATAGAAACCATGAAAAGTCTCTTTTTAGGGCAGGGGGAATTGTTCTTGCTTGTTTCTTTACATTAGAAGTTCAGATCTTCTCTACCTTGGGAGGTTTCAGAGTAACAGCCGTGTTAGTCTGTATTCGCAAAAAGAAAAGGAGGACTTGTGGCACCATAGAGACTCACCAATTTATTTGAGCATAAGCTTTCGTGAGCTACAGCTCACTTCATCGGATGCATATATGCATGCAAAAATTTTCATGCTTTGTGTGTATATAATAAGATCTTCTAAACTTTCCACAGTATGCATCCGATGAAGTGAGCTGTAGCTCACGAAAGCTTATGCTCAAATAAATTGGTTAGTCTCTAAGGTGCCACAAGTCCTCCTTTTCTTTCTACCTTGTGAAACTCTTATGGTGACTGGAGAACTGGTTAAATATTTCTATTGCAAGAGAAGGAAAGCTGAGCTATTGACAGGGAAGGATTTTGTGTTTGTTTTTCTATTTGATTATTTCGGACATTTTAACAAGTTTACAAATCCTTGCCATGTAAATATCAGAAATAAAACCATCATTACAACAGTAGCTTTTATTTAAAGAGACTTTATACAGGAAAATAGTCATCAGGTCTGTCTTTTTAACAGGATGTTACCATATTACAGAGGGAGCATCATTAGAAAACCTATAATAGGTTGTTTCTAGTGATGTTATTAAGTTGAGTGAAATCCAAATATACATATAGTTAACAGACCAGGGGGTGTCTATCAAATGTTAATTGGACACGTGTGTTGGTATTTTTCCAGGTGAATGTACTTTGAGTATAGAATAAAAAATACTTAGATACTTGGTTATCTATCTGTCCTCTGTTTATTTTGTATGTAACTGGGGTGTTAATTTTTCCATAACCATGGCCTCCCATATTTTTTTAATTGTTCTTATATGGGAGAGGGGAGGAATTTTTAGTCAGACCGATTAGAGCTCCTACTTTGTAATCTTCTATTTAACTCCAAGGCCCAATAAACACTCAGTTGAAAGGATATCTTTCTTTAAGTTTCAACACTCCACTTTGTCATTTTAAAGTGTGAGAACTTACAAAAACTTCTTCAGTCTCAAGCAATCCCCTAGTAAAAGCGTAGGGGAGGACCAGACTTGACATTTGTGGTGATTGAGGTTTTTAAAAAAAAAAAAAGTGGGAAAAAGCCCTTTCTCCCCTTTAAAAATCAGAACCAAACCCAACAACCGTCCTTTAGCCCTTCTTTATACACAAGAAAGAAGCAAACGAGCACAAACCACTGTTTTAAAAGTCTACTGCAGATTACATTTAAAGACCATTGAAGCATGAGGTTTTGTTGTTGAGGGTATAGTTGGACCTGTAAAATACCTAGGGTGAAGCTTTAAGTCCTTTATTATGAGGATAAGATAGCCACTCTCTTTTCCCCCTTGAACTGGCGAGAATTTAAGTTAATTTTTCCTTAGGTAACAGGTCAAAAGGAGCCCCACAGAACTTTCAATTATCTGCTTCAGCACAGGGCCATATGGCAAAATGAGTTTTCTTTTCCTTGATTGGACAATATTTTACCTGGGGGTTGTTGTTTTCCAGTGCGTTGATGCCTGACTAAATATGTTCAGGCACGGTCTTCATGGAAAGACGAGGCAAACTTTTCTGTTAAATATTCCTTGCACTAGTAATCAGTCTTGGAGGGTTACAGATTGGCTTGCAAACCAATTAAAAAGCCAGCTTCATCCAAAGGGAGGGGAAAGCTGGCAGTGGGATGCTGCTGCTTTTCCTTTGCTGTATACCCCCAAAACAGTTTGGCTTAAACTGGTTTTATGCCATATAAAAAAAAAAAAAAGGGCTGGAGGACCTCAGCTGATCAGAGTACTAAAGGTCCTGGGCACGCACCATAGAACGTATTGGTTTTGAGCTTGGTAGTTCTCTTTTTACAAGGGGCTGTGGATTGTTGTAACACAGTTAGGGACTGTAGGAAGAGGCAAGTCTTCCTGAACTTTACTCCCAGCTTGAAGTTTTAAGAAGTAAGTGGGAGGAGAGGGAAGAGAGGGAACTATAGACAGAGAGAGAGAGATACACAGAGAGAGAATTAAAATGTCAAGAGAAAAAGGCAACACAGAGAAAAAGCTAAATGGCTTTGGGGAGAAGGGGAAGGAGAGGAGCCGAACATCCCTGATCATCATTCAGGCTGTTAACCGCAGTATTTTCACCTCTGCAGTCTCCCCCGCTGCTGAGCGAATCCGCTTCATTTTGGGTGAAGAAGATGACAGCCCTGCACCCCCTCAGCTCTTCACCGAACTGGATGAGCTTCTGGCTGTTGATGGACAAGAGATGGAATGGAAGGAGACGGCAAGGTGAGGCATTTTCCCTTTACTCTGAGAGGGAGGTGCAACTGCTTGGGAACCTTCATGGGAGAGTCGTAGAAAATAACATCCCTGTTTAGGGGATGGTTCAGAAGTTGTCCTCCTCTCAAATTCAACGAGGCTCTTCCATAAGGGAGACCTTAGTGATTCATTTCAGCCTTTATCTAAATCTTCCCTAAAACAGAAGATCTAGAGTACCGGATTTGTTTGAATTTATACTTTATCCAGAGCCAAAAGTGTACTTAGTGCTTTGCAAACAGGTAACTCATGCTGGCCAAAATTGGGTGGCGGAAGTTAAGCTTTAAAAGCTCCGTTAAAGCTACTTCTGTTTTGGTGCCTAAACATGAATCTAGGAGCCCAATATCAGATACAAGTTCAAAAACTTCAGTCTTGGACTTTGTCCTCAGTAGCTGCAAATGACCTTAATTTTAAATGAGTAAAAAACACCCAAGTATTTTTTTTTAATTTTTTTTTAAAAGCCAGTTATTCCCTCGGGGTATTTGCTAGAATAGATGGACCATTTTGATTTTTCTGATTTTATTCTCTGTTTTGTACTCTGGAGTTAATTCAGAGCTGCATGCTTTGTCTGATAGTCCAGGCAAATTGATTTTAGACCATTTTGTGAACAATGCATACAGATAAATTAGATTGGAATGATGATAGAAAATCATGATATCTGCAACTAATTTAGAGAGCAGTATTAGCTGTTTATAATTGCTTCTATTTAGCATCTCAGGCTTGCTAGGCTGACATTTTTCTGTACAGTGACAATAACTTTGGTCTTGAAATTTCATCTCTTTTGTGCTCTATGGGAAGCTGCATGAAGTATTAGATTTGGGTATTCCACTAGAGAGAGGAATTCAGAGTAAATATTTTCCAGAGCTTTTTCCTCTCCTCCTGCACCTTTTGAATATTAGCTTTTTGTTTTCCTTTATTGTAGCTCTGCAAAGCTCTCTCTCCATCTTCCAATCTTAAAGGTCTCTGACCATGTTCTGGTTAGTCCCTCTTATTTGGTTACCTTAATCGTCCTTTACCTTTGATTTTTAATGAGCCACTCTACCTTGTCCCCTTATCTTCATTTTACTTTTCAGTCTCTTGTAGAGGCTATTTAAAGACTCTTCACCTTTACTCTTTAAATTCTTGCTTATTGGTCTTTCTTTTCTCCCTGTATTACTCTTTTCCTTATTATTAGTTCAGTATTTGCATTTTGTTGTGTGCATCACCTCTCTGCTTTCTAAAGCTGATTATTCCTTTCACTGCCTATACCACTTTCCCCTTTTTAGAAGATCTAATGATAAAAATTAACAATTTATCCATTTTCATGTCTTGTATCTAAACTTACATTTCCTTATGTGGACAGAATGTGCCTTTTTCCTTCAGTGTGAAAATAGGCCAGGAGGTTTCTCTTAACTCCACAAATATTGCACATCTTTTAGGCTGCTCTTTAATTGTGATTATAAAGAGGGAGGCAGCGTATGCCTGATGAGGAGCTGTTGATGTGAATTTGATTTGGCTTAGTGGGTAAAAGACAGTATTTAATTGTAAGGACCCCCTTTCAGAGCCAAAGGAAATGAGTCTCAGCTAGGTTTTTCATGAGGGATCACTAAAGTAACTTGAGGGACACTTACCCACAGCTGTCACGTAATTTCAAAGCAGCCTTCAGGTAGGTATAACTTTGGAGGATGGGCTCTTCAGTTTGCTTTATCAAGTCACAGTATAATGAAGAGGAATAGTTTTCCTTTAAATGCTGTATGCTTTATGCAGTGCCATGCTGCTTTGCTGGAACTGCTAGATAGGACTGTGTATATGAGGCCCTTTAATGGTGACACTGTATGTAGCTTACATGCCTAAACTGCGTGACATTAGAGCCACTGCAAAAATTCCAAGCTTGACAGTCTCTTATTCAGAAAGCGTTTTTATTTTGCTGCTGACATCTATGATATGTGAAGTTTTTAAATGTTTCTCTGACAACTTGCAAAGCAAAATCTACCGTAAGCTGAAGAGTGACTGCTTCTGCAAGACATACTAGATAGGACCACCCAACTCTGTGCTCCAGCCTGTAGAGGAGCTGCCCAATCCACATCTCACCACTGTTCACTGTACAGGAACTCCTCATTTAAAGTCGTCCCAGTTAACGTAGTTTCGTTGTTACGTTGCTGATCAATTAGGGAACATGCTCATTTAAAGTTGCGCAGTGCTCCCTTCTAACGTCATTTGGCAGCCGCCTGCTTTGTCCATGGCTTGCAGAAAGAGCAGCCCGTTGGAGTGAGCTGGTGGGGGCTTGGAACCAGGATGGACTAGCAGCCCCCCATCAGCTCCTCGAAGTTCTCTGTGCGGCAGCCGCCCAGCAGGCTATCAATTGCCCACAGTTCAGCTGTCCCTCCCCCTACTGCCGTGTTCTGCTCCTGCCCTCTGCCTTGGAGCTGCTCCCAGGAGCCTCCTGCTTGCTGTGCAGGGGGACTGGGGAAGAGAGGAGCTAATGTCAGGGTGTCCCCCTCCCCCGTACTCCTGCCCCCCCGCTTACCCCTTCTCCATATAGACAAGGGTGGAGACAGGACAGGGCTCAGGACAGAGAGAGCTTGCTGGCCGCAACTGCTGTCTCAACTTCCTGATCTTTTTAAAGGCAATGTACATAGAATGGGGTCAGCGTACTTAAAGGGGCAATGCGCATCTCCCCCCCACAGGGGGTGTGTGTGTGTCTGTCTCTGTCTGCCATGCTGTCTCCCCTCCCTCCATTTGCGCTGCCTTGTAGAGTGTGAGGCTCCATTAACAACATGTTAACCCTTGACGGCTCAGCCAAGTGTTAGTTCATCATTTAGCAGTAAGGCATCTCCTGGGAAATATCCCACCCTCTGACTCCACCACCTCAACCAAGCTTCACAATCACCATGGCTGTGTACAGTATTAAATTGTTTGTTTAAAACTTATACTGTATGTGTGTGTGTGTATAAGTTTTTTGTCTGGTGGAAAAAAATTTCCCTGGAACCTAACCCCCCTATTTACATTAATTCTTATGGGGAAATTGGATTTGCTTAACATCATTTCGCTTAAAGTCGCATTTTTCAGGAACAGAACTACAATGTTAAGCGAGGAGTTACTGTATGGTATTAATCCCCAAAGGAGGTTTGAGGATTGAATTGAAACCGTGTCCCCATCAGAACATAACATTTGCATTCAAGAGTTATAGCAAATCGAGCTGCTGTCTCCCCAAGGCCGTACCTATATAAAAATAATTGGTAGAGGTCATAAAAAATTTCTAGCCGCGAGTGAAAAGATATGAATAAAATGTATATGGTGTCCCTGGCTGCTTTAGCAAATGTTGCCGTCAGGTTCATTGATGTTACCTATATTAGGAGCACTAAAATAGATGGGCAGCACCATTCTGAGTGTCGTCTAACCCTGCTCAAAGTATGGCTAGCCAATCCAGGACTTAAAATGATTTGGGTAGAGGGAGCCCGTGTACCTGTGGGCTCCCAACATTGTTCAGACTGGTGGAGTTAAGCCATTGGTAACAGTAGAAGCTTTTTGAGGAATGTTCCTAGTGTAGCCAAGGTTCACATGGGACTGTGTGAATTCATCAGAGCCGTACAGTAACAGCAAAAGTCATGGCTGTTGAAAGGTAACAGTTGAAGGTTGGGTCATTAGCAGTTTTTGTTCATTGTGTTGTTACAAGCTGCAATTAACTCAGTTGGTATGGAAGTCAAAGCCATTGTGCTTCCAGGCAAACTTCTTTGCAGTTCAGCAATAGTTAAAGGACACATTGTAAATTGGCAGCAAAATGAAAAGGCCTGAAACCTGAGCAGTGGCCTGTGGCTACTACTTGAATTTTTGGATCCACTGCCGTATGCTCAGGAGCTAGTCCAGTTTGCCAGTAATGAGGCTGTCATACCAAAAGTCTGATCCTGTGATTGCACCAAAAAGACATGAAACGGTTTTGTGGTCTTTGGAATTCATTTTGTTCCTTGCTCTTCTGGTGAGCAATGTCAAACAGCGTGTTACCTCCATTCAGTATGTTCCAAGCTAGGATTGCCAGGCATCTGGTTTTTGACTAGAACGCCTGGTCGAAAAGGGAGAATGGCGGCTCCAGTCGGCACCACCGACCTGGTTATTAAAAGTCCAGGAGGGGGTCTGGGGCCAGGGAAGCTCGGTGTGTTGCCCTCGCCCTGAGTACCGGCTCTGCGGCTCCAATTGGCTGGGAACCATGACCAATGGGAGCTGCGGGGGATGGTGCCTGCAGGCGCAAAGGCAGTGCTCACCGCGCAGAGCCGCCTGGCCACCCATGCGCCTAGAGGCCACAGGGACCTGGTGGCTGCTTCCTCCAAGCCACAGTAACCGCCGCTGGGACCACCCCCTCCCCTGCACATCCCAGCCTCCTGGCCCAGCCCTGAGCCCCCTCCAGATCCCCAACCCCCCCAGCCCCAACCCCAGGTGGCGTCCTCACTCCTCCTTGCACCCCAAATCCCTCATCCCTGGCCCCACCCCCTGCCTGAGCCCTCACCCCCACCACCCATCCCCCCCTGCACCCCAGCCCGGTGAAAGTGAGTGAGGGTGGGGAAGAGTGAGTGATGGGGGGGGCTGAAATGGAGCGAGTGGGGGTCCAGGGCCTTTGAGAAGGGGCGCAACATGGGTGGGGCCTCTGAGAAGGGGCGGGGCAAGGATGTTAGGTTTTGTGAGATTAGGAAATTGGCAAACGTATTCGTAGCCGTGTGATGGACTGTCTAAGAATTGTATACAACAAGGGTCCTTGAAGAAAAAGAGGCTCCTTCACCCACTTTTTGTGGACACGCTAGAAATAATTTCATCCCTTTCTTGGCCTACTGACCAGTGCAGTTGTTAGCAATGTTACACCATGGTGGGTATTGAACTGCCCCCTAGTAGGTTCTCAAACCATGATTAGAGTGTAAGGAAATGGTTTGGGGAGCATTTAAATGCAGCCACATCAGATTTTTCTAATGTATGAGCAGCTGGCTGTTTGTACCGGGACCGGCAGTGTCATTCTGAAATCTGAAGCATGCAGTGTCACTGCGCACTTCGGGGAGTCTTCAGATGCTGCATTTTCTAAATCTGGGACAGTGTTGAGGGCCCGGGAAGCATAACTGAGGTTTTAAAAAAGACTTACTGGTTTATTTTGCTCTGAATTAGTCAAAGTGATCCAAACTGGGTGTTGGATGGGAGTGAGGTGCAGTGAAGCCAGGTGTGTAGAGGTCAGGAGTAGAACTGGACTGAGGTGATGAAAAAAATTTCAAATAATCAAGCCAGCAACCTCTTGCCCTGAATTGATTTGTTGTTATGCTACTTTTATAGACGTTCTCTCTTTGAATACCAGGAAACTCCACAATGCTGAATTCACACCACAGTAAATATTAATGGGTACATGTATGGTAGACCCTTACTGGAACACGCTTCGCAAACAAACCTTGAACCTTAGCAAATGGGGTCCCTGCATCCCACCTCTAGCCCCGCCCACCATGTGGAGGGCTGAGATCTCCTCCAGTCCCACGGCTGAGAGGTGGAGAGGTGACAGATCCTCTAACCCCAGGGCCACTGCTGGACAGAGTGCTCCCCTGGCCCTGGGACTGGAGGATCTGTTTCTCTTCCTGCCGCCCCGCGCTATAACAAACCCCGGCTATACTGAACACCTGGTTTGTATCCCCTGCGATTCATTATAGTGAGGGCGTACTGTAGCACTTAGGCACATCTCCTCCCCTTTGATCCCCTTGAAAGTTCTTCCCTTGTCCGAGAACGTTCTCTTTGCTCAACCAACTGCAAATGCAACTTTCTGCATTTGACCTCCAACGTTATTTTATCAAAAGTGATTCTGACACCTAAAATCAGTTCTAGCCTAGGCCTTGGAGGATTGGGTCCTTGGTTATTTTTAATAAAAGAGAGTTTTGTGTCCCAAACTGTGAGAGCTTCTTTTAATCTCATCTTTTGAGACTTGATATCAAGGTACATAAATATCAGCTGTACTGAACATAGTTGTGCTACCTGGGTATCTGCTCAGTACTAACTGAACTACCAGTGTTCTGCTCCAGCATGCAAAGGGCTCACTTTATAACCCCTAATAAACTCTTCAGGGATATTCCAAGAAGAGCAGGTCCTACCTAGGACATTACTTATGGGAATGCAACTGAATGATTATAATATTATTAGCAATTCTGGGATGGCTGAATTATTTAAATGATTAAATTACAAAAATTATACTAGGACTGAATCTCAATCAATTGTAGTGTTTTTTTGTTTTTACTCTGATGGGGCTTTAACTTGGTGATTTTTAGCTATGCTAATAGTAACTACAAGTAATGAGCACTGACTAAGCACTGAATTGACCCAGGCAACTTACTGTCCCTCTGGGCTATTGAACACTAACCTCCAATTTAAGGGTTATTTTAAGTCACCCCTGAATCAGAGCTAAATATGACTAAAACTTGAATTAGCTGAGATTTTTATTTTTCTGCTAATCTCTGTTCATCCTTTCATACCATCAGCAAACAAAGCCAGGTGAATAGGTGGAAATTAAGAGCTCTACAGTATGAGGGAATGTGAAGGGTAAATAACCAAAAATATAACTAACAAGAAATTCTTTAAATGTATCAGAAGCCTGAGAGATTTGGAAGGTGTGCTGGACTACCAGGCAGTAAAGGGAATAATAAAGATATGCAGAGAAGCTAAATGATTTCTTTGCATCAGTCTTCACCACTCAGGATGTTGTGTGTGATACCTATCTTGAACATATTCTGTTTTCAGGTATCAAAGAAAAGGCATTTTCAGAGATTGAAGTGTCAAAAGAAGAGGAATTGGAACAGATTGCTAAACTAAATAAATTTCCAGATTAGGTGGTAGACACTGAAGAATTCAAAGGGAGTTTAAGAATGAAGTGATTGGGAACCAGGTTTTTATAGGTATTTAGATGCCTAAAGATGCTGATAGGCTTTTAGTGGGATTTTCAAAAGCACCTAGGCACAAGCTTCCATTGATTTCTATGTGACTTGGCTTGAACTGCAGGAAGTCTCCACCTAGGAGAATGTTTGGTTTGTGAAACAGAATTTGCAGGAAGATCTATTCAGTAGAGCTTTAGGAGTGCATTAAATATAGCAGTTAGCAGTTCAAACACTTATAAAAATAAGTTAAAGCTTGCTTTATCAAAGCTAAATATTGCAGATTATATGGAGAAAACCAAATAAAAAACAAATCCAAATCAAACATGGGAAAGTGCTTTATTGTGAATTATACACCTTCAACAAAAATGTCAAGGTCTTTTTAATTTTCAGGATTTATGTTCATGCAGGGTAAAATTCAGTAAATCAAAAAACCCCAGCCTCTGTAGACCTAACAGTCCTCCTTCAGTATTTTCAGACCAAAGTCACAACATTTTGTTTGGGTAAAAAGAAGTTTTTTAAAAGTCTCAAAATGTTTATTCTCAAAATCTGTTAAAATAATATCCAGGAATAGCTTAAATTAAGCATGTTTCTACTCTGAAAATCGATTATGTAAAAATGTCATCCTTACTCATGGTTCCCTGTGTACACCAGTTACATCTGCTTTCTGTAGAGAAAGAAATTAGTTTTTATGAGTTTCACTTTCTTTTGCTAGCACTGTAGTGTTAACATGTCTAAGGAAGAAAGCTGATTTTTTTCCTCCTTATACCTCCTTGGAATTGTTTACTAAGTTCCAATCAGTCACACCTGTGCAAACCAATTGAGGGTTAGGCAGGGGCTGTTGAGGGCAGAATTTGACTTGCAAAACTTTGTTACCTGTGTTGTATGAGAAGGAAAGAACGCACCTGGCTGTTGGTTGCGCTAAGTATTGGCCTGCAGGTCACACTCTTTCTGTATGATCTGATACACTTAGGCACAATAGTGAGAATTGAAGATATTTCTTTCTCTTTGCTTTTGAAGGTTTAGGCCTGATGCTTTAATGCTTTAACCTGATGACATGGTTTTAGGTGTGTAAATAATGTTTTACATGCAATGGTATTTAACCTTTGCTCTAATCTTCTACTAGGGAGATGAGCTTGCAGGTTTTTTCCCCCAGGAAAATGCCATTGAATCATTAAACAACTAGATACAGAATGTAGAAAGCTAATAACTTTTTTTTTTTTCAATTAAGAAGGGCTTCATGCAAACTGATTCCTCCCCACCCCATCCTGCCCAATTTTGATTTTGGATGTTTCAGGCGAGTTAGTGAGTTTTCTGACAAAGGACTGTCGTCTTTATTTATAATTTGAAAATTGACTGTACATGGTTGTCTTTCACATAGTATCGTGAGCAATAATGTGCCAGAGACAATGTAAAGTGGAGGTTCTGTGTTTCTTGACCCAATGGACAGCCTCCAAACCAGGAATTAAGAGACCTGCATGTTGATCCCAGTTCTGCCAACAGGGCTGCTGAGTAACTTTGGACAAATCACTTCATCTCTTTGTGCCTCAGTTTCCTCTTTTGTCAAGTGTTTTGATGCCTATGGATGAAAAGCACGATATAAGAGCTGGCTGCTTTTTATTGATTGATTGATTGATTGATTGATTGGCTCTTCCCCTCTTATGTTCAAAGTGTGACCAGGCGTAAGAATAATAAAAATCCGTGAACTAAGATTCATTAGTAATTTCTCTCTCATGATATATTTCAGTCATTTTACTTTTCTGCTTGTCTCAGCTTACCTGGTACCTTTAAAAACCATGGCCAAAAATGTTCAAATTTAGGTGTTTTAGGCATCTAAATGAAAGTGACCTTATTTCCAGAGGTGTTGATAATCCATTGTCCTTTGGGGGCTCTGGAGACTCAGCACCTCTGAAGATCAAGCCACTTTAATCTAGGTGGCCCACTATGGTTTAGGTGGCTAACTTGGAAACATTTGGCCTGTTCAAATACTGGGTGGCATTGGTGTAGTTGTTGCATTTTATTTCCTTTGTCTTAATTTAAAGTGATGTGTTCATGACCTCATGTACGTTTAAACCTGTCAACATCCTGTCAACACCCGGTGACATTCTGGCTGTTGTGCCTCTTTCAGAAACGCCAGAGGTAGCATTTTTAACGTATTCTTGCTGCTCTGCCCTTCCATAGGTGGATAAAGTTTGAAGAGAAAGTGGAACAGGGTGGAGAGAGATGGAGCAAGCCTCACGTCGCTACGTTGTCCCTGCACAGCTTATTTGAACTGAGGACGTGTATAGAGAAAGGATCCATCCTGCTGGATTTGGAGGCCACTTCTCTCCCTCAGGTAGTGGGTAAGTAAGCTTCCATGGAGGCTCTTTCAATAATCCTCCCTCACCCCCCCCCCCCAATGCTCTCTTCCTCAGAGCCTGAATAATGGCTGTCAGTGAAAGTGAAGGAATGAACTTGTGGTTGTTTTGTCAACATCCAAAAGCCAACCATGTCCCAGGCTTTCCGGAATGACAGGAGTAGCTGCGGCTGGGTGGCCTGGAAGATACAAAGTCTTTCACCTGTAGCATACCGCCCTGCTTGGTTTGGTTGTGACTGAAAGCTATGGCCATCTGATGGCTCTTCAGTTGCCTATGCAAAACTGTTGGTGCTTTCAGTCCAGCTCTGAGTGAATAGCCGTCCATGTCATAGGAACCACCGTTACATTTGCCATGAACTAGCACTTCGGTTGGCCATCTCACCTGAGAAGCGAAGCAGTGGATGAGAATGGAGAGTGACTTATTCTCTTGCTCCTAGAGGTAATTGCTCCCAGTCAGGGTTCAGGCACATTAGAGCAATGTGGGGTAGCTTGCATCACTGCTACCTGTGTTGTCACTGTTCTGTGCATGAAGGGGGATGCACGTTCCACTGCTGTCAGACCTTATGTTTTGGGCTTTGCAAAAGCACTTAGTGTTGGCTTACCTCTGCTTCCAATGAATTCACTGGTAATAGTCCCATTGACTACGGAATTAGGCTAATGCTGAGCGCTACATTCCACAGTTCCTCTTTGAGGGACTTACTCTACTTGCTTCTAAAACGACTGTAGCAAATTCAGGGTAGAGCTGTTCCAGAGCTAATTCAAAAAACATGAGTTTGTCCTCAAAATATCATGGAATTGATTTTTAAAAAGAGATTTTAAAAAATAATAAATCTTAGGTTATTTTTATTTTCTTTCACTTTTTTGTAGGGTTCACATTTCCAAGACTTTCTCTGTAACCATGAGAAGTAGATTTTTTTTTTTTTTTAAATCTCTTACTTAATGACATGGCTCCAAGAGCTGAGGCTTGAATTAAAACAGCAAATATCATTAGCGGGCAACACTGCAATTTAATCTTTGAGAATATTTACTGTCTCCTTATTTAAGGGAAAAATTATAGAGACATTTAATGAGAGAAACTGAATTCTTTTTATAATAAATTACCCATTTATAATAAATGAATTGGTATTCCTCTTTCTGTTTATTATTAATTCATGGTGTAACAGAATAACAGAGAAATACAGTTTCCACATCTAAGGTGATATTCAAGCACGTCACTTGCTTTCCACATCTAAGGTGATATTCAAGCACGTCAAGCATAATACCAACTATAAGAGCATAGCAGTGACAGTCCCTGTTAGTTAAACCTTCACCGGGGACTTTTTGCTTTGCGTGGCATTAAAGAATTCATAGATTGGATCTCACTTTGTAACAGCAGAACTGAGCATAGTTTTAGTGGTTCCGTTTTACCTCTTTGCTGATAGTGGTGATACTTGCTTGAGGACTTCTGAGCTCTCCTCTGCTCTGTGGATTCTTTAAGATTCCTTTTTCTCATTGTTTGGGAGGAAGAAATACCCTTGAGTGAGATGTTTGTGACTCAAACCAGTGACCTAAGTCTGTCTAAAAAGCACGTTCCCCAGCTCCTTCCTATAAACAAAAAATAAATGGCAGCATGATTTTATCTAAAAAGATGTAACTGGCAACATCAGTAAATTTCCCCAGCATCCTCTTCTGCCTCAGCTCTAAGCCAGGGCTAAATTCTTTGCCAGGTTTCTTTAATATGAATTTTTAACTTCCTTGTACTCTGGATTTACTCTTAGTTAAAAGCATGCACTTATTACCTCTTCTTGACTGAGGGAAATTCCTTAGCCCAATCCCTTATCACCCAGAAATCCATTTTTGTTTCCACACCTTTGTTCTTACAGGAATCCCAGTTAAAAGCATTTCCCTAAGTCGTCTTCAAACCCAAACTGCCTCCTGTAACTTGAAACAACTTTAACGAAGATTTCTCCCCAAAACTTTGAGCATGCACTCCTCCACCCCCAAGAAACTGGGCTTGTCTACAAGTGGAAGTTAGTCCAAAATAGCTAGGGTATGAACTTAAAGAGCAATAGGTATTCTGCACTAACTCCTTCTGTGGATTCTCTTATTCGGCATGAGGGGTGCCCTTTTGCGGTTTAAGGTTAATCCACTTCTGCATTAGCTATTCCAGGCTTTTCCTCTGTGTAGATAAGGCTCATCTGAAAAATGGCAGGAATAATGGGTATAGGTAGGTTTGTATGATTATTGCTGAAAACAGAGCCAAAGCAAGTACTATATCGACTTGACTTGGGACATTAGACATCAAATAAAGAATACCCTTTAAACTAAGAAGCACCCCTTATTTTAAGTTCACCTTGCAACTAGACTGATCACCAGACTGTAGGCCACCAAATAATCTTCCGTTGGTGTCAGCTTTTACTTGCTACTGTCCTGATTGGATTCAGGCTCTGTATGGCAATACTACTTCCATAAGCCATATAGAGCCTCTTAGCAATTTAATTTAATTTTAATTTATTAATGCAAGAAGGTGTCAACTGTATTTTGATTGACACTAGGTGCTGGGTGGGAGGAATTTCAAATGTCAAGTGTTATCGTAGTCTCCAATCATGCAAAGACCCATTGAAGTCCTGTATTTGCCCTGTTATCATTAGAACAACTCAAAGCTTATTTTCTCCATTGACTTCAGTGGGATTACTCACTGCATAAGGTCAAGCATGTGTACATTTCTGCAGGATCACGATCATAGATTGTAAGCTTCTTAGGGCAGGACCGGTCTTCCTCTGTGTTGTGGATAACACTGAGCAAACTATTTGTGCTCCTCAAATAACAATTTATATTTATAAATAACTTGCATACACCTACAGAACAGTGTACAAGAGCCATTGATGATATACAATTATTTGTCCAGCCACAGCTTGCAAATAATAAACCATTAAAAAAATAAAATAAATTGCACTTGTTTATACACACAACTGTCATCTTTGATGTTTGGAAAAAAATTGATACAGTCTGTGGCAATCTGATTCTGAAACAAGAATAGTAACCAAGAGTGCACCTGACCAATGCTTTGTGCTCTCCATGGGTCCTGTTTTACCTTTTGGGTCCAATTTAAGGTCTTGATCTTAATCTTCATGGCCCTCAATAGTTGTGGGCCAGGCTAAGGCTACACTGGCAACCACCTCATCATCCGTGATCCTCCAAGACAGCTTTGCTCATGAAGGACATGGAAACTAGAAACAAGTGCTGGTTGAAAGTAAGAGGAAGAAGTGTCATGAATGTTTTCTTGTGCTTTTATTTTTATTTTATTTCAAAGGTCAAAAAAGTGCCCAGCTCTATAATTGGTTGAAAAATTGGGGGGGTGGAGGAGAGAAGGGGAAATGAGCCTTCCCTCACCTCCTTTCTATAGATGCCAATATTTGAAGAGTGTCAACCAGCTCTGTTAGAAACGCTGCAGTGGCCTTTTGAGAGCTAGAGGCAGAGCTTTTGTGATGCTGGGTCTTAGGTGGTGGAGCACCTTACTGGAAGAGGTTAAAATGAGATAGCGCATCCTTTTGCAGAGGACACCCCAGTGCAAAACCAACCTTAGCAACCCTATTAGCCACACCAGGAAAGCAGGAGGTAGAAGGAGGATTGGAAAAGAAGGGGAAGAAGAGAAGGAAGGAAAATAAAGTTGTAGCACCAGAGCATAGGTAGGGATGAGCAGACTCCTCCACACTGATTGTTATGCTTATCCTTGTATTGTATTTCATATTTAGATACTCCTGTGATTGGAATGCTAAAAATATCTAAGGGCTTGTCTACGTGGTGCTGCAATCTGGACTACAGGGTTGTGAAATGTCGTGTGCTTTAACATGTTGCCCTCTGCCCCATATAGACCCCGCTGCCGTGCACTAAAAGGTTTCTAGTTCACGGTGATGTAGTTCCGTTTTGAACAGGACTAAGTTCACATGCACTAGGTACCTAGTCGGCTATGAATTAGCAGCCTTCTCTGCGTCCGTGTGAAGGGAATTCTACAGGCTGTGTGTCGCATCGGAAACAAAACTTTCAAGTTCACATCTGTTAGGAAAAGACTACATCACAATCGCTGCTGCGTAGAGAATGTTTCTCAGATTTTTGACACAGCTGGCGAGACCAAAAATTGATTTGGCAGGCCAGTTTTCAGAATAGGGTGGTAAAAGGGCATAGGACTTGGCCCACGGTGTGAGTGCTCTGTGCCTACAAAGGCGGGGACTGAAGGGAAGTGAGAGGATTTGCTCCACAGAGCTGCTGATGTCTTTTGAGCACTATGGCAAGATGTTTTTTATATGAAAAGAGCTATAGCATTGCATGACCTATGCTGTCACTGCTGACTGCTGTAAATACTGTATTCTCACTAGTGTATGAGAATTTTCAATAAAAGAGGAACAGAAAACAAGCTAGTTAGAGTAATCTCTGGTGGAAGCACAGTTAAAGTAAATAATAACTTGGTTTCAGAATCAGTAAAAATAGCATAATTGATTATTTTTTGAAAGTTCTCCACATAAAAACAGTGAAATATTGTTTTGTAGGCTAGGCTCAAAATGCATCCTAGTGTAAAGTCATCATCAGGTAAGGCATGTTCCTTTATATTCGAAGAGCCAGATTTACCAAAGCTGCCTTTAACATCAGGCCTACAATTTTGAAACGCCCCAAGTTTTGTGTGCTAATTGGGTTAAACAGCTGCTTTTACGTCTGTATCTCGTACGACACCAAGCACAGTCTCTTTGATTCATAACTAATAACTCTGAAATTTGTATGCAAAAACTGGAGATAAAATACCCAAAGACAGCCACTAAAATTGGAGACCCGAAACTTTAATCGCCCAAAATGAGAGGGCTGGTTGAGGCTACTTTGAAAATGTGGCCCTAAATATTCTTTTCTTCCCCTTAAATCTGTGCTCTTATCACTAATGAATTAAATAAAAAATGAATAGCTATGGTTGATATAACTGTATTTCTTGCTCTGCTGCTGTAGAAGCCAGATAGGGACAACTAGTTAACTGCAAACACTATTCCTGGAGTTTTTCAGTCACTGATGACTTTGTTCATGGTGATGTCAAACAAGAAAGTAAAACTCAGATTTGTTTCTTTGTACTGTATCAGAAACATGGAAGGTGGAGAAGAGTAGTTTGCCAAGTGGGGAAAAAAAAAAAGATAAAATTGACAGGGAAAGAAAAGTTGAGTTTCTCAACAGGTGTTTAAAAAAATAAAATATGAACAGTAAAAATTAAATGGAAAAATTGCACAAAGCCGCCTCTTTACAAAATGTCTTTTGTCTGCACACATATGTACACACATGCACTGAGGTGAACTGGAGTAGAAATTTTAGGCCTTTTTCTTAGTGATTTGAAAAAGTGTTAATTCTAGGTTGGCATATGAGATCTGACGCCCTGAACTATTTGAGTTGGCAATTTTTGGCCCATTGTGCTTCTAACTTCCGACCTTTTACTTGTGCTAATTAAAAAAAAAAAAAAAAGTAAGAGCTGACACCTTCCCTCCAGGAACCGAAACATTGACTGAATTAATAAAATGGGTAACTTAGTATATGACTTGGATGGGGAATAAAGATTTTCAGTAAATGTGTCTATCTCTTTTGTTTTTATAAGGATTTCCCTGATATCGGAACTGAATGAGAGGGTTGATGAGAAGGGGGAAGGGTTGGAATGGGGCTGGAAGCAGTTTTATGGAGACTCAGTTAAGGCAGAAACATGCAAGTGTTAAAACAATACATTTTTGCCTGAACTGACAATACTGATGATGGTCAGCAGAGGTGATAATTCCAATGCTGGAAGGGTCCCTCCCTTCTGCAGATAATTTATGAATGAGGCAGTGGTAGCGGGTTGCAGGAAGAGTCTTAGTAAAGAGCAAGAAAAAGAAAATGCACTTGGATGTGAGACCCCATAAATCCTGGAATATTTGCCTTTGGATGACTTTCCCAAGTTCATATTTATAACAGAATCTCTTTAGGGATCATAGAATTGAGAGTGAGTTCTACCTCATGTGGTTGATGTTAATTTACTGTGGATGTAGGGGTGAACTGTGGTTTAATTGTTCAGTCATTCCCAGGAATTTAACTCCATAGTTCTTGCTAAATTGCATTTACCTGGAAACCTATGGAGTGAAATACCTGCCCTATTGAAGTCAATAGGCGTTTTGCCATTGACTTCAGTGGGGCCAGAATTTCACCTGTGGTCTTGCTGTCTTGATGACCGTACGTATCCATGAGCATTGTTCATTCTGTAACGCAGATTCTTTCCCTTTCTGGATGACAGAGAGCATTCCTTACCTCTGAAGTCAATGCAATTACTCGTGTGAGTGTTGTGGGATCTAGCCTTCTATTGGTATGATAGCAGTGTTTCTTCTAGGGACCTCCTGGAACAGGGCTAGTGACTTTTGGAAGACAAACATACTTAAGTTTTGTTTCAAAAGAAATTCTTAAAAGGGAAACCTACTTTTAAAAATAAAAAAATCACGTTATTAAATAAAAAAAAGTGTTAGAAGAGGGAAAGCCCTTGAACAAGTAGGGTGAACTCAAGAAACCAGACACTTAGCTGAAGGTAGCAGTCTCATAACTGTTAAAGTAACTTTGCTCTTTGTGATTTTCTCCCCCCTCCATTCCCTTATTTCTTATTGTAACAGAGATGGTTGTTGACAATCAAATCGAGACGGGCCTGTTGAAACTAGACATGAAGGACAAGGTCACCTACACGCTGCTCAGGAAGCACCGGCACCAGACCAAGAAATCGAACCTACGCTCTCTGGCTGACATCGGGAAGACCGTCTCCAGTGCAAGTAGGATGTTTACCAACCCTGATAATGGTAATGCAGAGGCCAGTTGGCTATAGCCTTCCCTTTGAAAGAAACCCACAAAAAACTAACTCCATTGCCATCTCATGACCATGCTTTTTCTAACACACAAGTAGTGTAGTGTGCCCTACTGATGATGCATCAGTTATGGGCTCTGCTCCTGTGGCATGTTGCTCTGTCCATATCTTCATTGGACTAACTGGGTGAACACGAGAGGGTACAGTGTGAGGCATCTGATAGCAAAATACAATAATCCCTGGGGCTCACAGAGTAATACTTGCAATGACACTTTCAGACGATGTTGGGGAGGTGATACAGATCAGTGAGTGTGTTCAGTATGAGAACATATAGGGAGAAAAAAGTGCCTGAGACCCTAAAGGCTAGTTGTGTAATCTTATATAAATATAGACCATGTTTTTATGTATATTAAAGTTTCTTATGGAAGGTGTACATAGACTTTTAAAGCAAGGCCCCTGAATATTAATATAAGATAGTAAAAACGAGCTCAGTTTTTAGTACACTATGACCATTGTTCGGTGTGGTGAAAGCTGATTTTCATGAAGCTTTGTTCATCCTAAACAAAATCATCCTATGAAAATGTCTGTATGTATATAAACAGATATAGGGGCATGTGTGTCCCTTAAACATGCATTTGTATGTGTGTATTTGTAGGCACGTATGTGTGTGTAGTTTATACTTGCACTTTATGCATAAATAGCAACTCCATAGCTAAAAGTGCATTGAGATTTGAACTTCGTAAAGAAGACCTGTTAGAAATAGTATCCAGAAAAGCAAGAATAACACGTTAAGCCAGTGAGAGGGCTTCGGCATGGTTTGGAATTTTGCAAACTATCTAAGTGTTGTATGAAGAACAGTTACAAGTTACTGTTTTAAAATAGCAGGAAGTCAAAGTGAGGTGATGGTAATAATACTGTACTAATGGCAGTGAAGTCACTCCGCTTTCTGCATTCTGCCTCCACTTGCATGCCAGCATCTCTCTCGTCATATTTTATTATTCAAATAACTGTTCCTCTTTCATGCTGTCCTTTATTTTTGAGGCTTATTTGTGTGTATTTGTGAGAGAGAGCGAGAGAGAAATACTTGCTTTCAATAATAAAAAATACTTATTGCATACCAGTGCCTTGAATAAAGCTGCATTCAGACAGAGAAAATTAAGGTGGAGTAGAATCAATCATGGGAGTGTCTTTGATGTGAACTTTACCAAATTCTCAGGCAGACATTCTGAAAGAGTGAAAAAGGAGGCTTTGGTTCCAACAGCACTGTACAGAAAATTATACTTGTGCTAAACTTAAATATAAAGGAAAGAATGATAGGATTTGCCATGTTAAATTAGATGGTTGGTTCATCCCAAAGAATGTGGGGCCTGATGAAAAGCTGTTGAAGTCAATGGAAGGACTTGCACTGACTTCCGTGGGCTTTGTTTCAGGCCCATACTGCAAGTAGAAACGTCATGCTATACCTGATGCTTCAGAGAAAGATGTATAAACTGCTGTCATGCGCCTAACCTACTATGTAATGTACATTTGGTTAAGGGTACTTAATTCTTTTATGATCCCATAGACAACCATTGAGATTTGATTACCTTTATCTTAATGTACATAACTGTTCAGAGTGTAACCTCTTACTATGAGCTTGGGACCTCTAAGTGCTACTGTAATTCACATAGTAATCAAACAAATATTTTTATTGGTTACAAATAAAAGTAATCCAGCCATAGTATTTAACTCTGGCCTCCAGTGTCAGTGAATTTCATAGGTTTAAGTCTGTGGTGTCGGGAGTGCTAGAAACCCTTGTGATAATCTGATATTACTGTAAAAAGAAAAGGAGTACTTGTGGCACCTTAGAGACTAACCAATTTATTTGAGCATGAGCTTTCGTGAGCTACAGCTCACTTCATCAGATGTATACCGTGGAAACTGCAGCAGACTTTATATATAAAGTCTATATTTGTATATAAAGTCTGCTGCAGTTTCCACGGTATACATCTGATGAAGTGAGCTGTAGCTCACGAAAGCTCATGCTCAAATAAATTGGTTAGTCTCTAAGGTGCCACAAGTACTCCTTTTCTTTTTGCGAATACAGACTAACACGGCTGTTCCTCTGAAACCTGATATTACTGTGTATGACATGGTTAGGATTGGAGACTCTTCAGAACTGGTAAGGGATTCATTGACACTAAAGGGTGAAAAGTACATTGTAGAGAATGTGCATTCTTCTCCCACACTTTGTTTTCTGTTTTTTTTTAAATGTTTACAGTCCCCCATATGTATGAATGGTCTCCCTCCTCTTTTGTGCCAGCTCTTCATTCAGTCCTTCACTTTTGCAGCTAAGCCCTTCGGTGATGAAACACCAAAATCTCCAACCATTTAACAGAAAACCCAGCCAAACAAAAACCAACCCAAAAACCCTGCAACATTATGAGATTGAATTATCAGCAGATCACTTGTGTATTATGTATCTTAACAATATTCTCTGTCTCTCGTAGCTTGTAAGCCCCTGGGGCAGTCATGGTGTCTTCCTCTATGTATTGTAGAGAGCTGAGCTTCTTGTCAGAACTGGTTAAAAAACATCGCTGATATAATTTGGAAATTGTGTGAGTTAGGGATAAGCACATAACCCTCATCTTTGTGTAAATTAATTTTTAGCCTAAAAAAACAATGCTTACTCAAGTTGGGTCACCAATATAATGGCTAGTTTTTTCATTCATTTCTTTTTAGTGTTGGAAGAAGCATTGTGGTCCAGTGGCCCCACTGAACTGGACTTGAGACCCAGTCCTGTTCCTGGCACTGTCACTGATCTGCTGGGTGACCTTTGACAAATCAGTTAATTGTTCAGTGCCTCTGTTTCCCTACCTATACAAGGGGGGTAATAAATAATGAAGTGTTATAAATTTTAAGTTAAATAACTTAAACTTTAAGTAAAGTACTTTGAGTGCTGAGGATGAAAAGGGTTATATAAAAACTACGTATAATAATAAGCACTATTATTATTTATTAATGCTTTTATGAAAAAAAAAGTAAAACCAAAAGTACCTTTGGATGCATGTATGTCACTGCTTGGATATGAGTGGGTGACCCACATTTACATCTTAAGGCAGAATTTTGCCTTTAAACCTATAGAAATGTAATGAGAACAAGACAACAGCTGTTTTTTGTCATGCCTGATAACAATAAAAGTGCCACCAGCCCATAGTGATTTCTGCCAGATAGATGGTTCCTTTCAACAGTTCCATTTTGTTTGCATTGTTTTGAAGCTTTCATACACTTTAAAATTTTTATTAAAGCTAATGTTAAAATTATATAATACATAAGTTAAGAAAAGTTTCAGTACATCTGGTTATAGTGCTTAAATTATTCAAAAGTACAAAGGTTGGTTTTAAAGTAATACAATATGTATAGTACATAATCAGCAATAACCCAAATAAGATTAATAAATTTAATGATACAATTACTACTACTGTGTATAGGAGGTTAATGAGAATGGTAGTGATAGTTCCTCCATAGAAGAGATTTGTGCCTTGCCTACTTCTCAGGTCTCTGTGTAATAGGTTTATAGGCTGATAAGATATTTAAACAGCTGCTCTGTGTTCTGCCAATATTAGAACAGATAACTTCTAACCTCCAGTCCACCCTTAAAACAATTTAAACTAAGTTACCAAACTGAATTTAAAGTTACCATTAATTTGACTGTGCTTATACAATGATGTGTATGTTCATTAAAAAAGTTTTGAGGAAGTGACATTTAATGAGGTGTAACTAGATTATATAACCTACTACATGTCGGTTAAACCTCAACATTTTATATAACTTATTGGCACTTAATGTGCAATAAAGATTTTTAAATGTGTGTTTGGAACCCGTGATTTAACATGTTATCCGATCTTATTAAATTGTTCCTCAAAATAATTTTCTTTACTAAACAATATTTTAACTGTATGACTATGCTCTTTTTAAAAAATGTAGATTTCCTATCTGCCACTGGATTTCCAATAGCTTTCTTTGGAAACGTTACCTTTATAAACTAAAAAACAGAAAACAGATGAGCGATTTGATTGTATATATTTCATTTGATAGTCAACAGGAATTTATCTGAGGTTCCATTAAGAGCTGGCCCTGTTGTCCACTCTGTGTGAAGTAGTCATACTTTACAGCTGACTAAGATTCCTGACATCTCTCCCCCACTATAAACACTTTAATTTAGGAAGTTATTAAAAAGCTCATTCATGTAAGTTACATTTTAACATAGTTATCTCTACTCACAACATCTACACACTTTAAAGTAAATACTTAGAACAGAGCAGTGGTTTTTACAGTGTTTGTGTTCTTGAGTGTGAGGGCTACACTAGCAGTTGTGGTGGATCCTAGTGATTTAGGATCTTCCTTCTGTGCTACAGCTCCCCTGCTGTGTTATCTTCACACATCACTATACCGTGGCCCTGATCTTGCAAACACGTGTCAATCACCATTGTCCTCAATGGGCCATAGATAAAATTACTCACACATGTAAGTGTTTTCAGGGTCATGGGCTATTCTTGTTAATCGCTGCTAGCTCTAGAATTGAACTCTGTTCTATATTTAATGGGACACTGTCAAGATGAAAGTTTTATATATATATGGGACAGTGTCATATATATATATATATATATATATATATATATATATATATATATATATAAAAATTGTTAAATGGAAATAATTTTTGAAAATAAAATTTACCTGTTACCCATTTTGCTTTTTGCCCTTTGGGTTGGAAAATAAAACTAGGCTTAGAAGTTTCACTTTCTTTTGTATGTCCTTCTCTTTAGCACTAGGTCACTTACTATCCTAAAAGGAGGAAGAACAGTAAAAAAAAAAAAAAAACTTGAAGGTAAAGCCTCTTTTAGGATTATTGCCAATTTTTGTTGTTTAAAGAGCATTTTGTTATTAAACAACTGCAATGTAATTCTCCTTTAATTGTCACATGTCTGGAATTACAAATAATTTTGTTTTGAATCATTAAATGGTATGAAGATTAACATCCGATAACTCACTTCATCTGGAAAAGGGTTAACTTTTAAAAAAACTTACTTTTTATTCTTTTAGAACAAGGGCATGAGCAAGTTTAGGATTGATACACTTTAACCTGTATGCTATCAAAGGTAGCAAGAAAAACAAGGAATATAGAAATAATTATTAGAAACTAAACAGAGAAACAGACTATTTGTTTATATTAAGATTGAGATAGCAAAATCCAGTTATGTAATAAAACTAAGAGGGACTCAATCCTGCAAACCCTGCATATTCTAACAAAGGAGTTGGTGACATTACCAGCATTGACACATTTAGGCTTCTGTGAGGTTGATGATTATATATATCTTTGGCGTATTTGGTTTTGTTCGTGTCACTTATGGGGAAGGAATCTGGGGAGTTCTGTATACATTTCACAGTAGGAAAACTTGAATGAACAGAAGTTTAATAATTTCTTAACTCATAAATTAGTTGTTTTTGTACTCTCACTTTATAATGTGCAAGTCCCCGTGGGATGACTCTTAAGAAGCAGCTCACTCAATGTGTTCGACTGTTGCCCTGTATTGGCTAGCCCACAGAGGAGCTCTTGCTTCTATTGCTGATGTCTCATGGATAATCTGCAGCTCAGGTGGTAGAGGCCTATATGTTTGGAGCCAAAGAACTTGGGTTCTAGCTCAGCTAGTGTCCATGATGTCTTTAAATTGCAGAATACGGGTTTGTTACAATTTGATGTGATGCACAAATAGTTTGGAAAAGACCACGGCGGTGTTTTTAAAATCCATTTTCATATTCGCTTTTATTAAAATTACTTGGAGATATGTGAAATGTGTGTAAAATTCAGCATTGTAAGAAGGGGAGATTTTCAAAAGCACAAATAGGAGCTAGGTTCCCAACTTCCATAGACTTCCAATGGCAGCTGGTTTGGTGCCTTTTGAAAATCTCACCCAGGATGACCATCTCTTCATTACAGGGGCTGGCACAATCATTCTGTTCCCAATTCATTTGTTTAATTACTTCTCTTAAAACGACAGATATTTAAATTGGCCAAAACACTTTTGAAGTTTAAAATCCTTCGATGGCAAAGGTATGCAATAAATGTTTTTATTCACAAATGTATAATTAGGGTTGAGACTTGGTCTTGCCCAGCCAACATTGTTTACAAGAGGAACTTTCCCCAGAAATCATTTTGCTTTGTTTGGATCCACTGATATGAAAGAGGCTGTGCAAATCATAATAATTTCCTAATCATCATCATAATTTGATGGAGGAGAGTAAATATGGGCTATTCATTTCAAGTACTCTGTTGCTTCAACAAGAGGCAGATGGTAAGCAAAAGTAGACAAGGCAAAGATCTTCTCTTGGATCTTGTTGGCTGGAGCTATCAAAAGTTGCTCTTTCAAAGGCACTGTCCTTCATGTCTCTTCATAAAATCTGCAATAATTTCAACAATAGCTTCAAAAATGTTTAATTGAAATGTTGGTTTCCAGCATGAGGAAGAGGACTGCACTATTGCATCTCATTTTGTAAGTTGACTCTGAGTGTTCATCATGTTAATTCTGAGGTTTCCTTTCTGGTCACTGAATATGGCATTATTAAGAAAGACGGAACAATAGTTTTAGGCACTGGATTTCACAACAGTCTTTGGCTATCTGGCAAGGCATTCCAGTCCTGAAATTTTAGAAGCTTTTGAAAATCTACTTAGTGTATTGGGCTGCACACAGGACTAGAAGACCAGAATTCCTGAGTTTTTAATCCCCACTCTGACACTGACTCAGTGTGTGTCACAAATCTTAGTTTGCCAACTTGTAAAATGAGGATAATACTGACCTTGCATTATGCAGGTATATGAGGATTAGTTAGAAAATGCTCATCGGTGTTTTTTGAAGCGGAAAAATGCAATGCACTATAAATTTTAGCCATTGTTAGAGGGCTAGTTTTCCTTCTTGCTAGAATCTTGAACACCGACACCATGCAAGCCGACAGCTCTCCTGATAAATGAGTAAATCAGTCAAATGAGCAGAAAAAAGGCAATAGAAAATTGAGTGTGTGTGTGTCCTTAATACATAGTCATGTTACAAAGCACGGTGTGTATTGTGTATGTTTTTTAAATACCTAGTGCACATTATATAGAGGGTTGCCAGGAGGAGGATGCTGAGTTGGTTGGTTGTTTTTCTCTGAGCTGACACCAGTAGTTTGCAAGTAGAAGTGTTTAAAATAACCACGTTTGTTATAATGCTTCTTATAGGCTAGAACGTGTTCAAGAGTACAACAAAGAATGTTGAATATTGACAATGGAACACTTTTATTTAGCTTTATTTTGTACAGTGTCTTTCATACACACTGTGTCCCAAGTCTCTGTAGAGTTGAATAATACAGGAACAGAGTTAAATAACAGCACAGGGAGACAGAGATTTAGGAGGAAAAGAGATGTTTTCAAATGATATTTGAAAACAGCAGGAGAATTAGTCATTAGCATTATTTAAGGTACCACAAAATGGAGTACATTTACAGAACACTAATTGCTGTATATCTGGCTATGTGCAGTGGTCAAGATGCTCAAAGCTGTGGTCTTTGAGAACTGATTAATTTTTCAAAGATGCTGGCCACTTGCAGCCCCTATAGATTCCCCTGGGAGCTGGGGCTGCTCTGTAATTCAGGCTATTTAGGTAAGTGAATTTGGATTTAGATGCCTAACTTTAGGCACCCAGGCTTAAACTTTTTGACCAGTATGTATTAACCTACAAGACACAGTGACCAAGTGCTGAAGGGTGAAATTGGAATGGGGTTTTTCATGTCCTCCTAAGAGCTATTCCCAGAACAATGTTGCTATGTGGAGAGATGGGTTTGTGTGTTTAACAATGTGAATGTTCGAACACTGTCTTTCCTAACTTGCTTGTGCAATTGCTTTAGCTTTTTTACTACTTAACTTTGCTCTCTTCCTCCTCCTCGCTGCTGCTATTGTCTCCTGCTCTGTCTTCTGCTTTCAACACTAAAGCACGCAGCCCACTTGAGAGTTCTGTGCCCTGCCTAGCAACCCGCACGTTGGATGATGAAATCCGGGTGCAGCGCAGCCCCAGCGTGGGATGGCTAAGTAAGTCAATGATTGGGAACATGGTGGGGAGGGCAGAGCCACTGCAGGTGAATGAGTTAATTTGGAGAAACATAGAAAGGGGGAACACTTAGCACTTAAAATTCTTAAATATATGCACTACCATATTAATAGCCAGAGAGAGAGTGGAACTCCTCTCTGCATAGACTAGATACAGCAATAGCTGTTCATGTGTCCCTGGGATGCCCCAACAGTGTTTCCTGCTCTTTTCTCGAAGTTCCATCCTCTAGTGGTAGTTCCGGTTCCATTCCGATTCAGACTCTTGTCTCTCTCCTAAGTCAGCCACTGAAATTATCAATGAGAGGCAATGGATATGGTGGTTTTTTGATGGAGACGCCTTCCTACTAGGGACCAGACCAAGACCATGAACTCATTCACTAGGTCACTGAACAGCCAACACATGGTAACAGCTTCCAGTCTGGAACAAAGTCAGATTGTCAAACTACAGGTGAAAGGCCCCATAATCTCATTACCAATCCCTCAAAGCAGCTATGACTAAAGAATTAGATTTAGTAAGTTACCTATTATTTATGTATTTAAATATCTGATATTAAGAAAGTTTTTAATAAGGTTTGCCAGTTGTACAATGTTTTACAAATGCAAAGTTTAATTTCAGTTCCTTACAAATGAAATATGCATCTATGTAGGTTTCCATATATCACAGAGCTGGCAAATGTATTGTTCAGTGATGAGCTGAGCTTTGTTCAGGACCTGTTTCTACCACTGCTCTTCATGTTGTCTTGCTGATTTCAGTGGAACTGCTTTCAGAGCAAGGTACCATCAATACAATGATGATAGAATTGGGTTCTTTACAAAGTTACATAGTTGTTTTTAGTAATCTTCAAATGTTTGAATTGTGAACATTTAAGTTGTCAGAACAATAAAAGGTAATTATACATCCTATTAGTAGAATGAAATGTCAAGTTGAAGAGGTTTTGATTGGTTTATTTTTTTGTGCCAGCACCTGATTGTATAAATCCAAGGGGTAACATTACTGATATCACAGAAATGGTTAGTTGATTTGGCCCATATTCAGGAAATTATTCCTATTTAGCAGAGCACTTAAGCATATGTGGCACATACTTTAGAGATAAACATGTTCTTCAGGGCTTTGCTGAATTAGGACTTTAATGCAGAAATTATTTTCTTCCAATCTAATTGCGTAGAAGAATGAGCTTCTGAGGATTGACATAGCATGGTTTCTTGTTCCTCTGCTCCCAGACTCTTCTTTATTTGCATCTGAGTAGTGTATTAGCTGGGCTCTTGAAGATTAAATTTTTTTCCCACCACTCTATTTTCTGTTCTTTTTCTCTTCTTCTGAGTCAGCGTTGCTAGAATTTCTAGCACATTGCCTCTATATTGTATTTATTTCAGTAGCAGGACACCACTGGGGGGTGAATAACATTGTGTTAATTCACGTCATTTAAAGAAATTTCTAGGGCCCCATTCTTTTTGGTTGGCACAAAGCCATGGAACTTTTGTGCAGTATTGGCAATTTCCCAGGAAAAACTAGTTTAGGACAGGGTGCTGGTAAAAACTGGCTTACATCTGGATTAAACTGGGAAACGGGGAGGGAGAGAAGGGGAAGCATCCCTGTTCAACATGCATGGAATGAATTTTTTCAAGCTTTGGATACATCCATTCAAACCTGAGGAATAGGCTTGGTCTATCCACTGCGTCAAAGTCGGTCTGCTACAGAATATTGCGTGGCCAAGTGGACCTGGACCGGCAGTCTGCAACTCCGCATGCTTAGTGCTTCAAGCCTACCCCTCTGCATTACTGTCATGTTCATATAACCAGATGTTTTTGACTTTTATATAATATTGAAAACGGAAATGAGTCATGACATGTATACCTTCTTGGAGGAAAATACTGAACCAAATATATGCAGACATTCTGATGTTCGGTATAATAATTACATATATTAGCAGTACACCCACTGCAGTTGTACTTTAATTTAGGGTTGTACAAATAAAATCGATGAATCTACTGCCTTATGTAACCACAATTTGAATATGTAACTAAAACTAAATGTAATGGGGTGTGCATAATGAAACAGTTTTTAAAAAATGCCTTGAACTGGGACTAACTAGTTTTTCATGGTAAAAACTGCCTCTGGCCATCCCTGCTTTTGTGGCAACGTTGTTTAGCAAGGATGCCACATGCTACTAACAGAGTCTACTCAAGTTTGTATTTCTCCAGCTGTTGATGTCTACATGCTAGGTGGGATCGCTTTTTAGTTGCACACTTTTTTAACACGAGGCCGTTTAAGTGCTGCTGGTTTTTTGCTTGCTTGTCTTATAAATCATATTTCTTCTTCTTCTTCCCTCTCCACGGTTCGTCACTCGTCCTTTCCTCTCTTCAGTATGCATTTTTCTTTCTTGTAGCAAGTGACTCCATTCATATCTTACAGTTTTGTTTTTCCCACAAGGAAACGCTCTTTTTTTTCTGTGAGCCTATGGAAAAATTCCTAGATGTAACTCCTGCCAGTACTGGAAAAGCAGCCTGTAGGAAATGGGATCTTAGCTCAAGGATAAATAAAGTTTGGCTTAAAGATCTTTAGTGACTTGAGGTCAGGGTCACCTCAGTTGGAGTTGGGAGGTGCAGACTAGAAACTGCAGCTCCCTGAACCAGCAAGTCTTGCTGTATTTCTTGAGTGTGAATGGGTGGGAGATTGGAATCCCAACTGCTGCTTCCTCTTAGGTATTCCTCTGAGGAAAGGCAACTTCATCTTCTGCTGGGGATTTTACAGGAGCCGGGCCAGGGGAAGATGTGGAGGAGGGGAGACGCTGAATCCGCACATTGCCCTGGTTACCATGGTCGTGTCACCATGACCCTGCTCACTTTTTGGGTCAGCCTGGCCCTTTGCTGGTTCCCTGGGTGGAAGGGAGGTTTTGGTAGCATTGTGACATCCCATAACCTCTCCCTGGCAGTCTCTAATGCAGTGAGCCTGCCATGGTGGGGATATTGTTACATTCAGACAAGAAGCAGCTGCGTTGGGACTGATGGCATTAAATGGTGGGTGGTCTTGCTTGTCTTTGCGACAGTCCATGCAGCAGTGCTGCTTTTTGACAGAGAAATTTGGTCAGATCCGTACATGCTGCATCTGTTATGCTGTTCTGGGAGTCCTGAAGCATCCATGCCACATTGCTCAGCCATCGTCTTGTATTGAGAAGCTTTTGGGTAACTTTTAAAAGCAGGGCAGTGCATGCTGGGATGCAGTTCAGAGGGTCAGGTCAACTGGTACAGATACAATGCTTGCAGCTTCCCATCCATGCTCTGAAGAGGCCAATGCAGCAAGTGCTCATTTGTGCCTGGCCTGAACTGAAGACCTTGTCCCAGAGTTTGACACCAGTGCTTATAAAATGTCTTGGAAGAATGTGGTGTGTGGATGTGAAACTTGCAAAGTATTGCAAGCTCAAGGTGTTGGAGCCTATACTCTACCTCGGCCAGGTGGCTAAAAGGAGCTGAAGATATGCGTCATCTGTACCTGACAGCTATATTCAGTCAGGATTGTGAGAAGCTCACTTCTTCCCATCGGCTACAGGCACTTCCTTAGGCTCTGATACACAGGTCTAAGGGTGAACAGAACAGTGAGTGAAGACTTTGTAGCTTGTTGTGCCAAGTGAAGATAGAAAAAATAGGCCTGAATTTAACAGGTGGTGTGTTTCATCGTTAAAGACCCAGGATAATTAGGAGTGATAGCTGCTTATACCAGGTCTGAATGTTGCCCTTTACCTCCTGCACTCAAGTTTTCTTATCTATGAGGAAAGTCAAGGAATTGTGACTCTCTCGAAAAAAGAGAAACACGAGGAGTTAACCTGAAGATGACACTTGCTCTCCATACAGGGTTCCTTTAAAAGAAGATTCAAGATCCAAGAACCTAGTTGTGGCTATCTGTTGAAACTATTTACATGCTCCTTTAGGGTCAGTTCTCAGTGAGAGTCTGAATTCAGGAGTCTGGTTTCTTGTGCACTTAGTATTTCCAACACCTGTTACTCCTAAATTTCCAAAAGTAGCTGGTGATTTAGCCACACGGCTGTTACTGAAAGTAAAGAAAAAGGACTTGTTTTGAAAACGTAGGGAATTAGGGTTAAATCTTTCCCCTGATATCCAGTGGGTTGGGATGGGAATGAGTGTGAAGGTGTTGGGAGCTGTGCATCCTATAAAATCAGCAACTGTGCATGCAAAGTGCACTAACTGCTGTGTTATAAAATGCAGAGTGATGTGCTAGCAGGATCAGGCATTAAGTCTCCATCAGAAAGGATTCATAAACGTGAAAATGCAAGTTAATGTACAGCCAAAAACATTAAGAACAAGTGTTCATACTTGAGATTTAGAGTAAATGGTTATTTTATTGGTCCTTTGTTTTCCAGCTGTGACTGTTGGCTGTTCTTTAACGCTGAGGTTAGCCAACTGAAGATTGGATTACCTGCAGTTTATTTTGTTGGAAGACGAAAGCCTTTCTGCCTGAAAAAAAAATGCCAAGGTTAAACCTATTTATTTTTCACAGCGGTTAGTAGAACGTCTGGACTTAGTTTGTGGCTAAAGTAAGTCATCATCGCATCACAAGTAGCGATGCCATAGTTACAGCTGAGATGGCTACAGCTCTGCCTCTCAGAAACAGAAGGTGGTACAGAATATGACTTTTTCTTTAGGGTCACTTTCTTCCCCCACTGACTTCAGTGGGACTTTTGCCCCTGACTGAAGTAAGGCCAGGATCACAGAACCCTTTTTGAGAAGTTTCATTTGGAGGAAACCTAGTGTTGTTACTGTGACGTTGCTGTTGTCTCCCCACTTTTGATCTGAAGGCCCCTCACTAGCAATATGAGTGGTAGCTGGAAGGGCAGGTTTTTTTGGAGAGCCCCTCTGATCTGGAGTTCATTTACCTTGTTTGGATTAACAGTTTTTTCTACCAATGTACTTCAATCGTAAATCAAGACTGGATGTTTTCCTGAAAGATCTACTCAGGTTCAAACAGGAATTAATTAAGGGAAATTCTATGGCCTGTGTTATACAGAAGGTCAGACTGGGTGATCAGAGTGGTGCCTTTTGGCCATATAATCTATGAATCTGTTAACCTAAAATACAGCATTCTGGGCATGTTAGTTCAGTCTTGGGCATCTCATAAGAAAGATCCCACCAAATTTTGTGATGTGGACAGATATCTACTGCTGAGTAGCTGGAAATTGCCCGACTCAGTCCATGTGTGGCCCATTCGAGGTTTGGACCTAGAAATCCAGATGTTAGTTCATCAACAGGACCATCTTTTTGGCCAGTGCAGTCAACAGAAAATGGAATTACACCTTGAGCAAATAGCCTTCCCCATAACAGCACAGCAGAAATCAGCACCAAAACTTTTCTGAGTACTCTCAAATGCATTAAAACAGCTTGGAACATTGTTTTAAATAAAGCAATTGGCAAGTTTTTAGGTTTTTTTTCCCACCCCAAAGTTTTTTTCTTTGTTTGTTTTTAAATTTGAAGCCACTCTTGCAATGGCCTGTCTCAGTGACCATATGAAATAGTTGCAGCCACTGCCAAGATTTGGAGATCATATGACAAGAAGAAAAGCTTCTTGGACAATGAGAAATCAATCCCAACATCTCCCCATATGCTGCTGCAGCCAACAAGCATTCCGGGCTACCCAGCCCAATAGCAATGGGTAGGTGGTGAATGTGGGATACAGCTATTCTGTGCCCTACCCATGAGCATTCACATCTTCGACGGTATGTGAACTTCTTCAAAGCTGTTTAGCTCAGCTGTAGTCAATATTGTCTGTTTCATCTCTCATTTAATGATAGGAAAGGCCACTCGGTAGAAACCTTTTGCTTCAATTCACCCAGCTGTGTGATACCAATTATTGGTTTGAACAAGTTCTATATTTACAAAAAATGGCTCCCTGTGTCTTTGCTTTCAGATGATCAAAACTCCCCTCCATGCTTCTCCACACAGTTCCAATTTTTCTTTTTAACCCATATGTACATTATGTACTTGTGTAAAAAATAATTCCCAGAATTGGCAGCCTGTCTGTAACTTTTTAAAACTAATGAATCAACTAAATGCAAGAAGAAATATCACTGGGTTTTAATAATGCACTATAGGATTCAAAGAATCCAGCCTTATTTTGCTTCTCCATTTCTTCTATGCTCTGTGGCAAATATTTCTTTACGTTTTTTTCAAAATGAGGAAGGTTGTTTTCAGAAACCCAAAGCAAAGGTGTATATTGTAGAATAGCCTTAAATATGCCATCAGGCAAATTTGATGGATTTTTCCCCTCGTGAATTTGTTTATCATGTATCATACATACACAAAGCACAAATCAGATACTTTACTGAAACTTTAGGGGCACCATTAAGGTTGGCATACTGAAAGTTAAATCAGGGAACATTTGAGGCTGCACATAACTGGTCTCAGGCATGTAATTTCCCCCTTACGGGTAGGTACTCTGGGAAAATTTTATATGGGGTTGGCTTGGATGATGGGAGGAAGTTTGCGGGTCTCCTTTCATAGCATCTATCCAAGCTCAGCTGCTTACTGCTGGTTTTTTTAGCCATTCTTGTTCAAAGTAATAATAAACTATGTGAATATTGTAATTAAAACTGGATCAGGAAAAAAATATCTTGAGTCTGTCCATTTACTTTCCTCCCAGTGAGTCCAAACCCTTTTGATTACTTGCAAGTTGTCTCAATATGTATAGATAGCCTCATCTTAAAAGCGGAGAGGGGTGTGTGTGTGTATATATGTGTATATATATGTGCATGCTGTATACACAAGTAAGGTTAACAATGGAGATAAAAAGGAAAGTAAATTGGAACTTCCCTAAGCACTGGTGACCCTCTTATAGAACCTCTAGGAAATCCCTACTGAATGTCATTTAAATTTATGAAATTTGAGAAGACCAGAATAGCAGTCTGCTGGTCCCCGTCCTGGATAAATAAGTTAGGTAGACATGTTCTAGGACCCTGGATTTTGTTTTTTAACTTGCACCACTTCAGTGTCACAGAAGATGAATAGAATCATAGAATATCAGGGCTGGAAGGGACCTCAGGAAGTCATCTAGTCCAATCCCCTGCTCAAAGCAGGACCAATCCCCAATTTTTGCCCCAGATCCCTAAATGGCCCCATCAAGGATTGAACTCACAACCTTGGGTTTAGCAGGCCAATGCTCAAACCACTGAGTTATCCCTCCCCCTTACTTATTGGAAGATGAATCAAATTGGTGCCATAATATCACTTGTGCCCCAGAAGTTTTTAATTGAATTCCTTATCAGAAAAGGGGGCTTGAGAGCAGTGTTGTTGCCTTAACAAAGGGTGTCAGTTGCTTACCAATCTTGGCACCGGAGTTACTTCTCCAGCTGTGCGAAGGTGGTTGAATATCGTAACATTAGGAATAGATTTTCAAAATAGCTCATTTCCTAATTGTGCACCTGAATGGAGTAACCAGGTTTTCACAGAGTGCTCCGCTCCCAGCAGCTTCCAGTGAGAACAGTGGGAGCTGCTTGGTACTGATCTCTTTTGGAAACCTGGCGTTTGGATTTTAGTTTGAACAAACCTTCATAAATTAAGAGGCTTATTTTGAGACCTATCCCAACCGAGAGTCTGAAAACTTGGTTGGGAAATCTTACAGCAGCACTCTGAGATTTTTCTGTATCTCCTCTTCTGGTCCTGACTAGAAAAATCTATGGTAACAGGCAGCCTCTCTTGCTGTATGTCAGAACTTCTGGTTCCAGCAGAAGTTGCAGAGAACATATCCTAACATTTCAGAACCATAAAAAGAGCATACTTGGAAACTGACATGCCTTTCAGATTGAGGGTATTATATTTGTCATCAATGTCTCTCTTTGGCTTGCTGTTTGATTTTTTTCTTCTTCTCCTCTCTTGTGGTTATGACTGTTCCTGTGTGTGGGTGGTTTTTTTTTTTAAATAAAATATTAAAGGGTTCTAATAGAATTTTAGAAATGGGTGAAGGTTTGGTGGCTGCTTATTTTTCTAAGGTATTTCCTCCTCTCTGCTGCAGTGCCTGAAAACATAAGGTTCAACTGGAATAATTGTCCATAAGCTTGCGCACAATTACTCTCTGGCTTTGCTGCCTTGAGGTCTGCTAGGTTACTTCACTGACATTTTAAGGCTGAGCAGTGTGAATCTTGTCAATCACCTCTTTGAAAGAGAGGTTAAGTCCACCTATTTAAACTATTGGCCTCTGTCTTCTGGGTAACTTCAGTCCGCTATCCTTTTGATTACAGTGGTTTACACCAAGTTGATGCGCAGTTAGCTTTCTCTTTTGTTTAGCAATCTCAGAATTAGCCTATGGTTGACAGGGAGGATGCCTAACAAGGTAATTGGAAGAAAAGGAATTTCTTCTAAACAGCATCCGCTGATACTATAGACAGGCTCCCAGTAAGCATTGTTGATTAAACCAGCTGTTCGGTCGGCTTACTTAGAAAGCTTCCTATTCTATTAACTGGGGGGACGACTGTAGGAGGTGTTACCTGTCAAACATGTCCAGGAGCAGCGCTCAAACTCTGTTTGTTTTTTTGGAAGTGCCTTAACTTTTATTTTATTTGTTTCATACTTAACGTGGTAATGTTGTGGATCAGATCCTATGAAACTTTAGTTTCCTTCTACCCGTTTTGCCACTTTGAACTCCATAAGGCACCCTGTATCAGGCTCTACAATTTTTCCAATTTGGCCCACTACCCTGCCCTCCTTATGTAGCCCTTTGGAAGGTTGTGCTATAGCCAGGCCCTCTGTGCCCTTTTTGCAGGGTTGTAACAGATGCCTTAACTGGTATTGACCTTGTCCTTGCAGGCAGTCCAGCCATGACCCATAGAAACCTGACTTCCACCAGTCTGAACGACATCTCTGACAAACCTGACAAGGAGCAGGTAAGCTTCAAATTCTGACTGCATTTGAAGTTGTGCCGATGGAGTGGGTGAGTTTGGAGGGAGAATTTGAACCATAAAACTGGAGTGCAAGAGATGGGCAAGAAACAGGTAAGTAGATGGATCAGGTGCTCTGCACAGCCCACTTACAAAACGCCTCAATTGTAAGTATCAGCCATTTATAACGCAGCAGCTGTGGTAGTATCAGAGATGAAGCAACCACTGCTTGCGGTAGTTTGTGGTGTGACTAAGAGATCTGGCAGCCATATTGCTGATTGACTGGTTAAGCAAAGTATGTTGTCCTTTTCCTTGAGAAGTGAATGGATAACATCTAGCTTCTGATTATCTCCAGCTTTCCTCTTCATGTTGAAAGAGAGATGCATACTTTTAGCCTAGGTTCCACAACACACTTCATAGTAGATGGTATGACTTGGAGCTGCTTGTACCCCAGGGTGTGCACTCTCCTCTATTGGGTGATGAAGTCCTTATCAGTGATCGCTTCAAAAATGCATATTTGACCAAAAAGGTCTTAAAAGAAAACGAAGATGATATATAAAAGTAAAATAAAAGTTGGATTGGATAGACCTGTGATGTCAATGAACATAACATCTTTGTTACTAGCCTCCAATAATTTGCCTGTTTGAGGTTCTCTGAATCGGACAGTGTTTTTGGTGCCTTTGTACATGCTGAGGGAATCATACTCATTTCCTTGGTGTGTTTTCTCATCTTTTCAGAGCGTTTCGGATATTAAAGAGTAAGTTTATTTGAACACTTTGAAAGCTAGTGTCTGAATAAATGCTCTGTGCAAATTTCAATCATCCTTCTGTTACAGATTCTCAAGGTGTGACTGTTTCTCTGGTGGCATCTTTTCTTTCTTTTTTTCTACATTGTTTAGTCCTTTTTATTTCTTGATGCAAAGGAGAATTATACAGTTAATGTATTTCCCTGAGAATTTTATGATCAGCCAGGTGAGAATGGCTCAAGTCCTTCACAGTGATAGTTGCTGGCAATGTTGGTGCTGCTTATTTGGGTTTTTGTGTTAAAGGGGCACATGGACACAGTCGCTATAAGAAAAAGAGTTCAAAATAACTTCAGGTTCTACAACTGCCTTTCAGTGCCCCCAGCCAATTTTTGTGTTTTATGCTATCGCATATTTCTCTGATTTAAAACAAATTCTCTCCCTGTTTGCTCTGTGGAAGATTCACACAAAAGGGGGAAAGAACTGACTGGAGAAACACCGAAATGGACTATGCAAAAACTGCAGTCAAATGCATGTAGTAAACAAAGTAGAAAGAATAGAGAGAGACGTTTTGCCGTCTAATCTTAGTTTTAATAATCTGTTAAAAATTACTTCCAAGAAAGTTATTTTTTTTTCTCCCCCCAAAATATCCAGTTTTGTCAAAGCCAAATCATTTTGTGGAGATAGTTTGGTTTTGAGAGAGCAAGACACCCCCGCTGTAGATGGGTTGAGGTTCTGCCTTGGAATCTTTTAGACCCAGGGTCAAGTCCTTGTTTTGCCTGAATCAGAAGAATTGGGGATGAAGAGCTCTGCTGTAATTCAGGCAGAGCAAAAACCTGAAACTGAGTCTCTCACATCTCAGGCCAGCTCCCTAACCAACAGGCAGTGGAACAAAAACACAACGGTGTTTTTCAGAAAAATGCTTTCATTCCCACGTGGAACAAAAACCAATTGTAAAACCTCAGAAGTTACCACAGGATGGAATTGCCATCCTCCGTGCTCTGGTTGGTAATGTCTTTCAAAGTGTGTGTGTGTGTGTGTGTGTGTGTGTATTTACACATACACTCTCTCTGATTGTAAGGAAGCCTTGATGAATATTTTTATTCATAGAAAGAAACATGAGGCAAAATTCTGTATTTAACAGGAAAAGCAGCAATGTAATATAGTATAAAATGTTTTGTAATAAGGATCCCATGTACTCAGTAGCAAGCTGGACCTAAATACTGCAACAATTTCCTCAGTTTTCTGCAGCAAAAACATGCTGAATTGTATGTCACTGAAATTTCGGTGGAAGCATTAAGCAAATCCAGAAAATTAGGTTTTTTTAAATTGCATTTAATATAAAATGAATAACACAATCAGTTATATTAATACTAACAGCCGTGTTAGTCTGTATTCGCAAAAAGAAAAGGAGGACTTGTGGCACCTTAGAGACTAACCAATTTATTTGAGCATGAGCTTTCGTGAGCTACAGCTCACTTCATCGGATGCATACTGAGTGAACTGTAGCTCACGAAAGCTTATGCTCAAATAAATTGATTAGTCTCTAAGGTGCCACAAGTACTCCTTTTCTTTATATTAATACTGTGTTTATTCCCAAAGTGAGATTTGAAATGTGCAGTAGAATTCTATATGGATAATGACTGTCTGTTTATAGTGAAACACTGCTGGGTTTCAACTAACGTGGTCTAAAATGTCTGTTAGTTATTTAGCAGACATCCTGCTAATGAGCTTTTCACAAGAAAACTCTTGCCACATAAGGTTGTCAAAGTTAGCCCAAGAAATCACCTTGGACCTGAACTTTAGTTACTGATTGGCTCATATGCCTACTTTGATAAAATCGGTGAAATTGTGATGTTGCCTTGTAACTTTCTTGAGCTAAGCACTTACCAAGCAGCCCAGGAAGCTAGGAAATAAATTGTGATTTAATACATGTAAAAAGAGCTGACTTTCTTGCTGTGACAGCTGAGTAGCTGGCTCTCACTTTTTTGGTATTCTCTCTGGAGGTCAGTCAGTTCCCCAGGCTGTATGTTGGAACGTGAGCCTACTTAAAAAGGCTCCCCTGTTTTTATTTATTTGTTTGTGTGCATCGGAGACCACCCTATCTTTAAACGTTGGCATACTGGAGTTTGTTTATGGCGGGTTAGTTAGCTCAAGACAGGAAATAACTTGCAAATAAAAAGCGGAAAATTATGTTTACCGGTACGTGTTTTAAGTGACGAAAAAGCTTTGGACTAGCTTGTGTTTTCTCCTGCCTATTATCTTTTTCTGTGAAATACAATGATAGAGTTAATAACATAATAAGATTATAACCAGAACTTGGGTTAATCTGTGTTCCAGTAGGCTCTTAGTGAGCAGAAAAACACCCGGGGAGCATTCAAGGATCTGGAAAAACGTATACTGTTTGCTCTCTGTTCACGGTGAAGCTGTTTGTTCCTCTGAAGGGTGTTTTTTGTTTGTTTGTTTGTTTTCTAAAGGGAATTTAGTGTTGGTGGAAAGCATTTGAGGGATTGCACTGTATCCCCAAACAGTCACTACACATGCTAATGTCTGTCAGTAACTGCTAGGCTTCATGTGAAAGGCTCCTTATCCTACTACCAATCTCTGGAACCAGCAGGTATCATCTTTTTCTATACTGGGACCCTGCAGCAGTTCCCATCCATATCTGGGATGCCCTCCCATTTTAGTAATATGGAAGAAGAGAGAGTCATGCCCCACCGACACCGATTTCTGCCCCTGCCCCCGTGGGTTTGGACCCCTCAGGTTGAGAACCTCTGCCTTAAACCATACAATCTCCCTATTTCTCTGAAGTTCTCATTTGGAGACTGGCTTCCTCTGGGCAACCAAAAATGGAGAGGACCCCCTCACATATTGATGTACACACCACACTTCCAGTGGGTCTTCCTAGTCCATTTTGACTTTCCAAGTTGGAGAAAAGTGGAAACTCCTCTCAAACTTCGGGGAAGCATTGAGGCGTGGGCAATGGGGAGGTGAATTCCATCACACAATCCTCCTTTTGGAACTCCAGGCGTGTAACTGTCACAAATACTTTACTTCTGCATTTTGTATTTCTGACAGACTGAGAGGTTGTATACACTTCACAGTGGGAATGAACAGACTAAACTTAGAAAGTGCCAAAAGAGGACACTACAGTGGGGACAAATGCAATCTGCAACATGTTAAATATGCTGGTGCTTTTATTTAAGTGCTGCTTGGCTGCTTTTCACTCCGTGGAGACATCCTGCCTCTGGCTGCAGTGGTGAAGAACTGTCGTCTGGGCCTGGGCTTTCAGGTGACCTAGGTGTTCTCAGAGACTTGGGAGAAAAAGCTGCGGAGAGGCTGTTTGCTGCAATTTGATGAAGAGCACTAAGGAGCAAGGACCTTGTTACAGCGACACAGGTGCTGTAAGAGGCAGTTAGTCCTGTGTGTAATGGCGGCATTTGTGGTATGGTGAGCTCCTACTGTCCAGAATACCCAAACAAAGCCAGAGTTAATGTATTTGCCAGAATAGAAAGCTAAACAGTAGCTAGGCCAGGGCTCTCCAGGGCAGCATATTAGTGGGATCCAGGTACGTTTTTGAGGTTCTGCTGCAGCAACATTCAGGGCTGCTCCCTAAGGCTGCCCTCCTGGCGACTGCAGGGTGCTTATTTGCTCCTGCCCATCAAGAATTCTAATGATAAATCAGGGAAGCTAGCCACTGCCCAAAGAGAGTGAGTTGAAGGCAATTGGACTGCCCCTCCCCATCCCAGAGGGCTAGTGAAGGGAAGGAAGAGAAGAAGGTTGCTCCCCGTTTTCATTGACTGAAACAAGTGTAACTCTGATGCAGACTTCACTCTGATTCTCATGTGCTTAACTTTACACTGTGAGCAGTTCCATTCAGCTCAGTGGGCCTGCTCAGAGTTCTTAAAGTTAAATGTGCATATGCCTTTGCAGGACTGGGGACAAAGATAGGGAAAGAACCTATCAGCAGGGGCCGGGACACACAGATCTGCGCAGACACAGGCTCCAGTAATGTCAGATGGAGGATATGTCTACACTACAGCAGCACAGCTGCAGCTATGCCTCTGTAGTGTAGACACTTCCTATGTTGATGAAAGGGTTTTTCCATCACTGTAGTAACTGCAGCTCCTTGTGGTAGCTAGGTTGACCATGGACCTAGCAGAGTCTACAGCAGGAGTTAGGCTGACCTGACTACGTCGCACGGGGTGTGAAATTTTTCACAGCACTGAGTGATGTCACTAGGTCGAGCTAAGTGTTAAATGTA